CTCTCTCTCTCTCTCTCTCTCTCTCTCTCTCTCTCTCTCTCTCTCTCTCTCTCTCTCTCTCTCTCTCTCTCTCTCTCTCTCTCTCTCATGCTTTCTATATTCGCGATTTTTTTCGATGAGAGGAAAGGAGAGGTTCGAGTTGGTTATCGATTTCTAGTCTCTTCGAGTTTCGAGGCTCGAAAGTCGCTCGAAAGGGAGGCCTATGGCGGGCTTCTGAGTAGCCCTCTGGCGGAATTCGCGAGCTCGTAGAAATTTTTTTTTTTTTCAGACGTGTACGACAGAAGAGGGACTGTCTGAAGATGTATAATAGTAGGTGGATTTGTGAGAATTTTACGACGGTGTAGAAAATTGTTTTTTTTTTTTTTTTTTTTTTTACTGCTTTATGAATGGAAACTTATGAATGGAACTTGGGAATAGTTTTTAACGTGTTTGCAGTCGGTTTTATTTTCTCAGCGAGAAGTAAGAAGAAGAGAGGGAGAGGTTTAAGAGATGGAAGCTTTTGGAGAACTTGGTTGGTTTTCATTTTTTTTCTTTTTTTTTTTTTTTCATTTTTTTGTGTTATTCAATACGCGTGTTGTGAATAATAAAATTTTTTCATGAAAGATATTTTTTGTAATTGAGAATATGATTCAACTGGTGAAATGCTGAAGAACAAAAAAAAAAAAAAAAAAAAAGTAACGAAGTAGAAAGAATAGAGTAAAAAGTAAAAGAAAAATTAAAAGGAACAAATGAACTCAGTTGCTCGCATTAACAGAGAAAAATAGGTGAAAGTAGAATAAAATGCGTCATTAAAGATATTTTTTGAAAAAAAAAAAATTAAAAACGAAGGAAGACTTTAAGCGTAGATAAAAATCTTAAGGAAAAGTCTTGGATTATCAGAGAATAAGATTTTTTTCATCTTTTTTTAATTTTCACTTGCTTCATAGAACCAAAGTGACGAATAATCGTGATTATTCGGATGCAAAAGATATCAAACATTAATGTCGAATATTTTATATTTTATATGCAAGATATGCATGTAAATCCAAGTTAAAAAAAAAAAAACAAACAAAATTGTATTTTTTTAAAAAAATCCTTCAAACCTGAACAAATTAGAAAAACGTGCCACGTTAAATTTTACCTTCTAAAATGTAAAATTACTCGTGATAAAAAAAGGATTAAATTATCGCAATACATTATCAACGAGTTAGTAAGTTTAAATTTTAACGATTTTTAAACGATAGAAGATGAATTCATTTTTAACTCTAATGAATAAAATTATACGAGATTATGCAACGATATAAATGAGTAAACGAGATTCAACCTTTCTAAAATAAATGGTTGATTTACGAAGAGACGAAAACTGTTTAATTCATTTATAAGATCGATAACGATTTCCATTTTCGGCTCTTTTTAACCTGCTACTTTAAACTGGATCAAGGATGTGCAAAAAAGAAAAAAAAAAAAGAAAAAAGAAAGAAAGAGAAGGAAACGAATAATTCACAAACGAAGAGTTAAAACCGGGCAAGCGATTCCGGGGGCGAAAATTTTTCAATTCGAGGCAATTAAGGCCTCGAAAGAAAGTTTTCGAATGTGCTTAAATTCAGGATGCATTGCACACGATGTTAACTTAAAAAACTTGGGAGGCGGTCAGAGAAATCCTTCGAAATTTAATTCAACTTCAAGAGCGTCCAACTTTTGACTTTGGAAAAATATCTTTTTATCGAAAATCGAATATTTGTACACTCTCAACTCAAACACCCTTTAAAATTAAATGAGCGATACGAGAGATTGAAATTCCGCGCGGAATTTACACAAGAATTTACACGATAAATTGGAAAAGAAAAACATTGGAGGAAAAAGATCGAGGCTTTAAAAATATACAATAACGAGATCGTCTAATCATATTTTTTTGGAAGAAACAATGGAAAAAAAAAGATTATACACGCATCGAACACGTTGGTATTCGAATCCATCCTCGTTATCAACGTTCGAGAAGGGGATGATTTGAAAAGTTTGATATATAGAGATTGCAAGATTCCAACGTTGCAAGCAGGAATACGCGCCGAGTCAGCGATTTGAAATGCTTCTCAAGCGGCAATCTCGCCGTTCTCACAATGCGTTCTCCTCCCCCGATGCAACAAATACGCGTTCGAGGAATTCCGCTTAATTGAAACTTCTCCGACATTCGTTGCGCGCGAAAAAAAAAGAAATCTATCGTTTCTATTGCACGAGAAAAAGAAGAAAGAAACGAGCGAAAGAAAGATCGAAGGAGAGACTGTTGCTCCCCTCGTTTCCTGGTGCAAAGAAAGCTGGGTGATTCGTTACCTCCTCGGGATGATCCTCTTGGGGCGAGGCGACCCTGAGCAGGGACAGATCCTCGGGCGTGGAGGAGAATTGGACGGGTGCTCTGACGGTCCTGCCCCAGGGGTCCTGGTGATTCCTCCTGCACGTGTGCGGATAACTCGGCTCGCCGGCCTCGCCGATCAATTCCCGCCTCTCAACCCGGATCTCCCCGTCTGAGAGCGTCTTCTGCAACGGGAGGAACCTCCTCCCCGTCTGGGACATCCGGTTCAAAAGGGCCCGGGCGTCCGGCGACACGGGCGCCGGCTTGAAGTCGATCAGAATCTCTTGGTCGTCCAATTCGTACGATCTTCGCCGGCCCTGGGACTGTGGGGGAACAAAAAAGAAAATTCTTTCTCTTTGTTGCCCTGCTCTCGTTGGTTTGCCGATCCTCTTTTCTTTTTCGAGAGAGAGGGGACGATTCTTCCTGGCTATCGGACACTACCGTCAAGAACTTCGACCAGCAAACTACTCGGCCAGTCAATGCTAACTCTCAGGCAGAAAAATCGTAATTAATAGTCATTGTAAACCGTGCTCCGATCGTTGGACACACGGTTGGACAAATTATTGAGACACACGAGTTGGGACGCAGCTTCCAAAAAAGACTAATCGTCAATTAGTCCGCCTAATTTCGCGAAACTATTGGTTCCTTGGGTATCTTTGAGAGCGACGGAGTTAAAATTTCAAGTTGTAAAATTTGTTTCGTGTAACGTTAACGATGCGTTGATATGAATATTCGGGGAGGGATGAGTTCGTTGATAGAAAAAAAAAAAAAAGAAAATGGAAGTGGAAATGAATCAGCCTCTTTCCGAAGCGGCTCAATTCATTTTATTGGTATATATATATATATATATTTTTCGATCGGGCAATATTTCACCGACAATGTGTATTTATACGGCGCGTTGATATTATCGATATAATACGTTTATCGACGCTTAGTTCATCGTCGACCGATCGTATTTATCCACATTATCATCAGGAGGGATGAATTTTCTCCACACGTTTGTTATTCCCCCCTTTGAAAAGAAATAACGAGAAGAATAATATCGAATTTTATCCAAGCTATGTTTATATTATTATTATTATTATTATTATTATTATTATTATTATTGTTGTTGTTGTTGTTGTTATCATCATCATCATATTAATCGAATTGAATGCGTGCTTTACTAAAGGTTGAAATTTCATTCGTTAACGAGCAAACCTTTTAATCGAGGGATCGAGAATTATTACGAATCGACTTACGAATCGAAATAAAATCGTAGGGAAAATAATCAATACGTATCTATCGTAGAATAAAATTTCATAGAATAAAACAAGATTAAAGTTGACGTATCGATAAACCGTTAAGAATCTATCGTTTCAAGGCAAGGGATTATAAATCATTTTACGAGAATTTCAATTCAATTTCTATTCTATTTACCGATCTATTTAGCGATCGTCGAAACGTTTAGCAATACGGTCACAAGTTAAGTTAGAAAGAAAGCTTCGACAAACATACGATAAACTGGACGTTGAGAATTGGAAATAGTGTTCTAGAGAAGCAGATGTTAGGGGGAAAATGCTTATTAAGAAAAGAAGTTATGGATATCTTCCCGACAATTCTATAAATTATCCGATAGATATGAGCGATAAACAGTGATAATTTTACGAAATAATAATAAAAACAATAAAACTGAAAATTATAAAATTAAAAAGACACTGTAAGAAGACATACCGTTCAAAGATTGAAAGGAATAGAAAACTTAAGAATATTATTATTGTTTATTTCTCGAAAGTAACGATAAATAAGCGATGATAGAAATGCATATGTTATAACATAAGATAGGTTAAAATTAATCCATAAATATGAATGGCTAGAGTAAAAAATCCGTTAGATAATCCGCGAGCATTTTCCTCCTGCCTGAACGTATCATTATAGTTTCGAAATCGAATATACACAATAAAAAAAAAAAGCAGAAAGTTTCTACTTTCCGTACAATTCAATTCTTAACTCAATTACTTAACTCTAATTACTCAAGTTTAAGTTTAATTTATAAAAAAAAAAAAAAACAAAAACAAAAACAAAAAAACCTATCGATAATTCATTATATTCATTATAAAATTGAAATTTAAACGCTTCTTAAAAAAAAAAAAATTACAAAATACCTCTTCTCAACTATTGAAATATCACAATTCTCTAGCCTATATTTATTACAAAATTTTAATAAACATACAAGAATTTTAACTACGATGTGCAAAATTTGTCACATCGAAACAATTATTTCTTACACACTTGTATAAAAATAAATTTTACACATTATCCGAATCACTGTGCGAGACGTGTTGAACAGACATAGAGTAATCAAAGCGTGCATCTTGTTCCATCAAACCTGTCCAGGATCGCGCGAATTAAAATGAATTTTCGCCGCGAGACGAAACGTACGAGCGTTTTGATCGGCGGTGAAACGATGCGAAACGTAAAACAACGTCATAAAACAACGATGGAACAACGATGGCCCGATCGATACGTTAATATCCGTAACAACGCGTGTCCTTTAATTACACTTCACCGACGCACAAGCTTTCCCTTTTCCACCACGTCTATTTTGTTAACCGGACAAGTAATTCGATCACGATACCATTACAATCCGCTATAAATAGCGGGGAAATTTGATTCTTGTCCGATCTTCCCTCTCACCCTCCCCTCGTGCTTCCCCCTCCCCCCTCCGTGTAATCGAGCGTCACACAATGACGGCGGCCACCCCATGATTTATGCCGAGCACACGGAAATAAATTAATTAATCCCCTCGTACGATTTCATTGAACGCGTTAATTGCATCACGTCCCACATTTCGGCTCGACGTTCCCTGCATTTGGCTTTCCTTCTTCCCTCCCTATATTTCTATCCTCGAAATCGAGTAACCGCAATTTACTCGATTCATTGGGAAATTTTGAAAAAGAAAAGAAGTCTCCATGGGAGTTGAGGTCCTTTCGAAAATTCTTCTTAAAAAGGTTAAACACGAACGGTAGTAATTGCATAATTATGCGAAACTTTTTTTTCAGACAGATCTTGTACAACTTGTTACGATGCATAACTCGTTCGTAACTTGCAAGGATTTGCACGCGAATGAATGAAAATTCCATCATATCATAACGATTATTAATAACCGAACTGGTGTAGTGGAACTGGTTCAGTAGAAATTCATTCATTACAATTTATATCCTGATTTTTCATTCAGAGATCTGAGTTTCGATCCCGACTTGAACTCTCTGAAAAACAAAAAAAAAAAAAAAAAAAAAAAGAAAAGAAAAGAAGAAAAAAAAAGGAAAGGAGGAAAAGAAAAACTGGAGCATCGTTACACACGTTAATCGGTGTAGCGTCAAGTTGCGTAGTAGCCCATCCGGAAAACCGAATCGTCGAGCTAATCGATATCCACTCCCGGCCAGTGTGCGACAGCGGGGGAGATTTCATACGTGAAATTGAATCGGATGTCGCGAGAGAAACGTTTGATCCCGCATCACAGAACGCCGCGATCGCGAATAATTCGACAGATTTTCATGCCCGGCTCCTTAACCACCCCAAATTGGAATTCGTAATATCCCCACCCGTTGAATCGAGAGTGGCGTCAAGTACGGGGAGCCGAGCATCGCAGAAGGCCCTTTCCAAATCAATGAGATTCCCCCGTACGATTGCTTCCCCGCTTCAAAGGAATTTTCTATTTTGGCCACCATTGAAATCGAAAGGACAAACGTCGCGAGTGAAGCAAGTTTTTAAGGAAAGATTCGTGTCAACAATCCTTTTTTTTACTTTTTTTCGAGTTTATGCTGCGAGGAGAGATCGTAGAGGGGAGTGAGATTTCTCTGGATCTTATTCACTGGTGGAAAGAATGTGGAAAGAAGTATTTTTGTTTCTAGCATGATACTCCGAATCAATGAATAAGTCAATCCGAAACGACGATCTGTAAACCTCGAATATTCTAACGTATACCGATATAATATAAAAATTTCTTTATTTCTCATAATATGCGTTAGGTTAATTACGATTTGTAACGATAGTTTAATTTACAAATGTAATCTCGTGTTCGAGCAGTTAATTGTATGTATACGAGTTAAGTTAAACATACTATAGATATGTTAATATTATATCAAAATAATTAATAATAAGCTTCGAAAATATTTCCAGTCTTGGATGATTATCCTAACGTGAATTCATAAATGAAAATAATTTTTGAATAACGATTATGAATATTCAAGCTATAACTGTTCCACTGCTAGTGTGCAGAGTCAGGATTGTCAACAAAATGTGTGAAGTGGGGATAGACGGTTCTAGTCTCGTCCCACCAGACTTCTTTTTAGCAATACGTAACTCAAACTTTTAAGGTAAAGTATGATTGGATGAGAAAAGTTTCGCATATGCGATAATACGTTGATAAGAAAACGTACGTGTAAGGTAAATATAAAGTAATGAAATATTATTTTGCTTCTTTTTTATAGTATTTAAAAACGTTTCGAATGAAAATAATAATAAATGCGTATATTTTGAATCTCGTGGATAATTTTCAATTTACAAATTTACCATTTCTAATTATCGATTGAGAGAGGGCTTTTTTTCACTCTCTCGATATACAACGTGTTAATATACGTTCGAACATATTAAAGCAAGGAATGTACAAGAATTAACTTTGTTCTTTTTTAATCGTTTATATTATGAATATTTAGGTTCAAGATGGAGCGAGACGTAGAATGACGTGACACGCCACACCGTGGCGCTTCGGTGTAACTAAGATAAAGCTGTCTTGCTATATATCTTCGTCTCTTTTTCGTTTAACGGAAAATTGCTCATAGCTCAATGAATAAGTCTCAACCAACGTTTCCCTATACAACAGCTTATATTGTTTCGGCCTTTAAAGTGATGCCTTGCGAATATATTCACACTTTGTACGTCGAGAGAGTAAAAATAGCTCTTATAATTGAAATGTATTTATAGAATATCTCGAAACTAATTATTATATTCATGATAAAATTATCCACGAGATTCAAAATATACGTCCTAAAAAATAATTGGAAAGCTTAGGTGAACAAAGTTTCGGTTAACAAAGAAATAATCAACGCGATTAGATCGTGATAGGATAGGCGATGAAAATAATCAAGATACGATCAAATTATATCAGTTCACCCCGTATCCCAAAACCACATTTGTTTCTCGCTAGGACACGTTGTCACGCGTTCCGAGCATTTAACTGGTTAATTGAAACGTGGCGGCCTACGAAATCAATAGAATTTAATGCAGAATTAATTGACGACTGATTTTCACGGGACTGGCCTTTATGAAATTTCAATTTTCCAAGTAATTTTTGCCACGTACAGGGCAAAAATTTGAAACGAGACGAAGTAAAAATTGATCAAAGAAATCGATCAAGGGATGCGATAAAGAGTTTTATCATCGATGAATGATTTTATATATATATATATATTATTTTTTTTTTTCAAAAGCGAGAACGCTTTGAGAGATTTTATTGCGGATGGAGAAAAGATAAAAAAAAATTTGCAATCGTGTGAATCACAATCTAATCGATGAAACGAAAAAATTGAAATCGCTGTACGATTTTAATTGGTAATGTCACATTTTTTGTATCTTCATCCTGTTCCCTCGTATTTTGCGGATAAATTCAATGTAACTCGAGCACCCTTTAACGTTTCACATTAATTTTTCCGCTTTGCCCTGTAAATCCTCTTTCTCCCTTCCACCACGGATATTACTTCACGTATGACGAAATCTCTCATGGGATTCAACGATTCAACAGATTAAGTAAATTCCTTGGTAACCGTTGAGAACCGTATTATTCGTTCGAAAAATGATATCACTTTAGAAGGGGAATATCAATATTAAATTTAGAACACGATTTAATTATGCTAATTAACCATTCGAATTTTACGATTATCGCTATTAGATTAAATCATTCGATAAATAAACAATTTACACGATGAATATAACATAATACAGATAATAATTGCCGATTAGAAACGCTGATTGCTCACGGTCAGCGTGTTTTAAATATACACTTTTACCGAATTTGAATTTTAAATTCGACAGAATCGAAATTTTGCAAAATTCCACCTTATCGTCACCTAGTCGAAAATTCGAAGCCTCCTGGGTGAAATATTATTGTAATACATACAGATAAAGTTCTTCTCTCCGTAATTTACTTCGAAAATCTCTGTAACTGGTTGGCGGGCGGTGATAAAGGGAAATGAGTTGACATTATAAATCAACCTCGCTATAGCTGTTGGATGACTACTACGAGTGTATCGCCCGCTTCGGACATTTCCACTCTCCAAAGTTTATTCATTAAAACCAGAGAAGTGCATTGTGCAAATTTTAAGCGAATCGTTTAAAGTCAATCTGTACACGAGAGTTGCGGCTTAATAATTGTTGTGCACCCGTGTAACACATATCGCATGAGGAAATTCGTAAATTACCTTCTATCACAAACGAATTTTAAAACGAAGATTCATATCCGTAATTATCATTATCATTCCTCGTCATCGAAAAATGTTCCTAACAAATGGACAAGTTCTCTAAAAATTCTCAAAATACTTCGATCCAAAATTATTTTACAACAGTAGTTTCGAGCCAAATTTAACCCTTTGCACTCGTATTTATATTTAACACGTTCGTCGGCCAGCGCGATTTCGTTGAGTTTCTCAAACGGGGCCCAAACGTTACTGTCGGAAGTAGTTTTAATATTTTTATTTTATATATTTTAATATAAAATTTAGGATGTATTTATATATATATTAGTTCTTAGTTTTCATTAACTAATTCTGTGATGCCGATTCTGAATTAGTTGTTTTCAGTGTCTCCACTTCTTTTCCTCGCTCCCCACTTCCTTCGTTTCCAAAGTCAATTTTAAGTATTTTGGTCTGAATATAAGCCTCTGATTGGCAACTTCAACTTCTCGATTCTATATTATTATAGAACGACATATACGGTATAATTTTAGATTTAAAATTGTATAAAAATGCGGATTGATTCGCTAACAAATCATACTTGTCCCTCTTTTCTATTATTCTTAAAATTTAAATTCTATGATTCCAAAGTATATTTCATATTTATATTTCAGCGCTTATAAAATTCCACTTTAACCCTTTGCATTCATATGTCGCTATCCTACATTAATAAATATATATATAATATAATTACATTCTAGAGAGCTCTTCTTATTTGATAACCTTTCATAAATACAAATGTAAATGATAATTAAAAATCTTATTTTTCTCGAAGAAGAAAGCGTCACCCACATAACACGACGACCGCGTTAAGAAGAATTCCCAAGAATCCCTAGAACGTAATCACGTCACACGTTCGTTCAAAATTAATAAATCCTATCGATAACGATAAAATGTAGAATGCAAATCTCCGCATTCAATAATAAACCAGAGAAATAATTATTACTCACGACGGCCATGATAGAGTCGGAGATGTCCCCGTTGGTCAACGGCTCCTCGACGACCTCGTGGGGGGGTGGCGTGTCGACGAGGAAGGGCGACCTCGGTGGTTCCTCGCTCTGAGTCCTGTGCAGCGGCTCGTGGTGCTCCTCGTCCTTCCCCGCCCCCCTGCTTGGCCCAAAGGCGTGCCCAGCTGGCCGGCCTCCGAGTAACTCTTGGTCAACTTCCTGCCGTTGAACAGGCCGTTCGTCTGCGCCCCCTGCGAGACCATCTTCACGCGGTGTATCGTCCTCGGGCTGAGGGTGACGGGGACGCGGGCGCGGAACACGGCCGGGATCTCGGTCTGGGTCGCCTGGGTTTTCATCGTGCCGCGCTTCGGTGGCTTCTCTGAAACCGAATCCATCGTGATTTCCTTCGATTGGAATTCACCTTCGAGGATAATTGAGGGGAAATAAATAAAAAAAGATTTGAGTGCTTTACACTTTTGTTTTTTTTGGGGGGGGGGAAGGGTTATTGTATGAATTTTTTCCTCTTTTATTATCACTTAAATTACCGTTTGAATTGTATTTTTAATATTAAATAAATTTGAAATTAATTAAATCGTTATAGGGTATGAAAGTTCACTGAAATTCTATCTATTATTTTATTGTTAAATTGTTGCTAGCAGTGTCGCTATTCTGTAGCTGGCATCCTTTCGTTTATCTTCGATACGCGATCGTCAATTGTTCAGTTGATGTTCTGTAGCCCGACACGTGCACTCACGTATAAATATATCCATTCAGCTAAATCAGTATTAATTATTAGAAGATTAAAGTAATTGATTTTATATATTATTAAATTTTAATCAGCTAAATCGTAAAAATACGGGAAGCTTGTAATGTCGTCTTAATTTTGTCTTAATCTGGAATATTAGGCTCATCGATAAGTTTAATTATTATTCGAATAGAATTAAGGGGAAGAGGGGAAGTTGGGCAGGTGTGTTCGAGAATGTTCGTTTTGTTGGAATGTTAAGCGGATTTTTGTTGACAAAGGAACGAAGGAAGTTCCTTCGCGAAGAACGGGGAGAACTTTGCAACGCAAACGGAAATTGTTTGTAACGACGAGTTGAAGATGCGGTATTAGAGCGAAGGAGGATGTCTTTTGATGTAATTGGATCAAATTCTTGACTTAATATTATATATTTAGACGTGGGGAGACGTTACAACATTTTGAATCACATCGAAGCGGCTTTGATCTTCGTGATGATGTTAATAAACGAATATACGAAATATTCTATTAATTTGATAATTCAATTCTATTTAATTCTTGCATACGTTCTCAATAACGCTTCGAACACTTTCGATCGATTAAAATAAAAAAAAAAAAAAAAGTTACAAGCAAATGAATATTAATTGTTATATAGTATTTATTTCGAAATATACGAAAGTATACGTAATAAAAAATAAAATTTATGCCCGAATGAAAATCGAAAATGAAAATAACAGAATTTTTTACTTCATAATTTTATAACGATATGTAATCATGAATATTCATGATTGTTTAAATAAAAATTTTAATTCTTAAGGAAAAATTAACACGCTTGTTCCAAGAACGAGTAAATCAAATCACGAACTCCCTTCTCTCAGATCAAGCATAATTTATCGATCCGATTTCCACACACACACACACATATATATATACAACACACGTTCGTTGAGGGTGGAAGGATAAGAAACGGATTTCCTTCGTACAAATTACCCTTCCGTGACATAATTTACGTTGTAATTCGACGTTCGTTAGAAATTAATCGAGGAAGCTGAATTAACGCCCTCCACCGATCTAACACCGCGAATCGGATCTAATGTCAATGCGACTGCCTCCTCCTCCTCCTCCTCCTCCTCCCCTCCCAGTAGTCGTTATCGTTCCTACGCGAGTTCAATATCGGGTCTCATTCGAGCGACTATATTGGCAATTTGTTGGCTAATATCGAGCTAACAGCCGGACCGAGGGCAAGAAGTTAATATAGCAGAAGAAGGGACGATTATAGGAACACGTCGCGGAATAGAAATGGAAATAGAGATTCCGTCGTCTAATATTCGCTCGCTCGCGAGTAGGAAAAATTTCATTTTTTTGGATGGATGTTTCCCTTTGTTGGAAATTTATTTGTTTGTAACGAGCAAAGTTTCTATATACTTTCTCTTATTTATTAAATCTGATGGATTTTTTCGATTCGGTTAAAAAAACGAGGGAAATAATCGAAATGGAATTTTTGGAACGAGCTCGTCCCAATTTTCCCCTCTCGTATCGTGGAGAAGAAATCCTATCCCGTAAAACTGTTCGATTAAGATAATTAAATTCGAGGCAAATCGAACCGGATTAAATAAAAGATCCGTCTTGTTGCTTCGAGGGGTAAAGGATTTGGAGATAATTTTTAAATCGCTTGGAGTATTATTACGTATATCTTATTACTTATCTGTAAAATATATATTTTGCCATCAAATCTTCTTCCACAACATCTTGTAAACGTGATAACTTAAAAAGTTTGGATTTTTGTTCTTTCTTCGGTGTACGTTCCATGTATTTTTCGTACACCGAGCTAAAATACGAATAATCCACTATTTATAGATACGTATCTCGTTCAGGTCGATCTTTTTTATTCGTCATTTTATGGAAGAAAAATTGAATTTACCAGGTATTCCATTCCTCTCATATTGCCGATCATGTTTTCAATATGTATCGTGTATATATATATATATTGCATTACCGTTGGAAGAGAGAGAGAGGTACACGTCCTGTTAACTCCTCACAGTGTTGAGCTTTCATATTGTTCCCCTTTCCTTTTTTTTTTTTTTTTTGTTTTCAGCGAGTATAAAAAGTCAGAATTTTACGTGCAATGAATTTTTCTTTTCTCGTTGTCACGTTGTTATAAAAACACGATTCTCCGCACAGTATATATTTCACGGTATTATTGATGTTTGTTAATCATGGAATTTTCCCCTTGTTTATTTCCGCGAATTGATTTGATTTCATCCTTTATTGATTTATTATATTAATAAATGGGGTATATATAACGGATAGTGGAACAACGAAGACACGCGGGAGAAAAATGTAGTCGACTCGTTTTTTGATTTTTAATCGAGTTAATGGATGATGTATGTTAAAAGGGTAATTTTTTCCAATTGGAAAGAAAGAAAAAAATCGTAGAGGGAATTGACACGAGTGAATCTGAAATTTCTCTCTCTCTCTTGGTTCGTGCCAAAACAATGGAACAATTTCACTTTTGACTATTGGCTATATCTTAATCACGAATGATCGATGAAGTGTCATCAAGGCGTCCGACTTTTCCCCTCTCAAGAAGATCTCTATTCCCATTCCGGATTAAGAAGGGCGGAGCATCTGAACAAAGCTTATGCTTGCGTCATCGTAATTTATCGGATTTTTTTTTATAATTATTAATAAACGAAAGGTGTTTCATCCTCAAAGGAAAACTTTTCGCAATTGAAAAATATCCATAAAATACGAAACAATTTTATAATTAATCCACGATGAACGAATGCTTCATTATTTTGCAATAATTCTTGTTTAAAAAAAAAAAATATCGCAACTCTTATCGATTTTGATCTTGGAAAATTTAAAAGAAATTTCATTGTTATTCGAATATACTTATCATCGATCGGAACAGTACTAATTAAAACGAGAAATTCGACACTTTTAAATCATGAACCAATTCCAACGAAAGGAAGGAAACTTTCGAGCTAGCCATTTTCTATTGAAACATTTTCTCTAGAGAGCGCTTTTGATGCAGCTTTAGTTTTAAGTTACACCCGAGAACCTATTTAGTTACATAACGCGAACACGTGTGTGCTTTCCAAGGGTCGCAGAGGCGGGAGCGAACCGTAAAAAAGTATGAACGCGTGAAAATTGACCTCGAAAGTGGCATCCTGAGACTTATAGAATGTAAGGGAAATTTCAATGAGAATCGTTTATAGTACTTGAGTTTGCGCTTCTTTTATTTTATTTTCGTCTTATTGCTTCTGATCAGGCTGCTCCAATTAAAATTAATTCAAGTTCGAAATAAATCGATTCTCGCGACGAAAGATTGGAAGAAGGAATTATGCACGAAGCGCAAGGATTTCTCATCGAGAAGGTTTTAATCTGTCATTAAAGAGGAAGTCTATTTTTAACGATAAAAACAAACAAGATCTTTTCGGCATTAAAGTGAAATAGGAATATATATGTAATCACTTTTAAATTTGTAAATTTACTTCGTATATTCAAAAATGAATAACTTTCGAAAATCAATGAATCTTCGATTATCCATCACCGATTAATCTATCATTAAAAGAAAATTTATTCTAATGATATACTAAAAAACAAGCAAAATATTTTTCAGCATTAAAGTGAAATAAGAATAAAATATTTATCTAATCACTTTTAAATTTGTAAATTTACTTTGTAAAATGAATAAATGAATAACTTTCGAAAATCATCTGTTTCTAATCCTCGATTATCCACCACCAATTAATCTATCATTAGAAAAGAAAATTTATTTCTAATGATATACTAAAAAACAAACAAAATCTTTTTCAGCATTAAAGTGAAATAAGAATAAACTTTTAAAAAAATTCAAGATTATCTATTTCTAATCTAAACCAATCCTCGATTACCCATCACCAATCACTACTATTTTATAAATCATCTCCTGATACCTTTAATTATCACCACCATTTATATATAATTCCATTATAATTCAACATTCTATAAATTACGAATCGTTATCGATATTTCATCTTGAATTTCTCTCCCTCTCAAAATGGAACATGATAAATAAAAAGACAAAGAGAGAGAGAGAGAGAACACGTTCACATTCTCTCGAAAGGAATAACGTTAAGGGCAATTAGGCGAGGCGAATTAGTGTATTTAGAGCGAGGAGGAAGGCGCACTCACCGAGGACAATAACTCGGGGCTCGTTAGCGGTGTACGGATGCATCAAGGGTAAGGCCGAGGGAAGCATAGCGTTCTGCATCGTTGGCTGGGAATCTATAAGGCGTTCCTGGTTCTGCGGCCTTGGGGGGCTTCTGCTCCTTGGAACGTCGAACGACGTGAGAGTGTACGATCTCGCGAAGCTCACGTGCTTCGTTTTCGGTGCTTGCGACGTGGGCGGGGGTGGGGCCGGGGGCAACACCGGCCGAGGACCCTCCAGTTTCGTCGATTCCTCGTCCTCTGGAAGCCACGTGTATCTACAGAAGAAAATTCTCGTGCAGCATTTTTCACCATCTCCCCTGGAGAAATAAGATCGTATTCCTTTCTTCTCGCAATTATTTATTTATTTGTATCTATCGGCAAAATCATTAAATTTTTTTCAAAAATTATTGATCAAATTATTAAGTAAGTTATTATTTTAAAATTTTTAAATATCAATAATTATTATTGAATCAAAAAAAAAAATAATTTGTTAAATCAACACTAAAAATTTTAATTTTAATCTTTTGAATGTAGAAGAAATATTTTTATTAAACTAAAATTTTTATTCCAAAAACGCTCACGAGTTATTTTCGATTTGAATGAAATTGACGGGTGATTTGTACAGTTTTTAGAACTATCTTCAATTAATTTAAAAGAATTATTTACTTTCAAATCCTCTTTATTACATTTATATTAAAATAAATTATCCAAAAATATAATTTGTTGAAACTCATTTTAAATATACTGCATTTTGACTTGAATTTATATTTTATTATTAATCATAAATTTGTTTAAATACTATTTAAACAACAATATACAAGTTTATACATTTAAGTATTTCTTATCGTGAACTGTCAAATTAATAAACAAACCTCTCTAATTAAATATCAGATTAAAATTTAATAATTTATTGTTCGAAGCATAATAATAATCGGAAATAATCGTAATGGCAAACGGGAAGCAAGTCGAGTATAATAACTACGTATAAAGTAACTTAAAGTAGCTTTAACCAGTTACTTTTTCAACGGGGTCAATGTCCAATTCTGGTCAATTAGTCTGCGATTTTTCGATTCTCACGATCGAATTTTCGTGACAGGGAAAACAAAGAAAATCCGCAAGGAAGAAAGAAAAAGAAAAGATAAGAAACCGATAATCTGGATGATTTCCATATGCAGAATCTCGTTCCCGGCATTTCTTTGGAGCAACAGCGTGGCGCCACGCCGCAAACGCTCTCCCTACGCTTCAAAGACGTGAAAAGAAGAAGAAGGAAAAAAAGGAGACTAGGAGGAGACTATTTTAAGAGACAACAAACACACACCTCTGTAGAGAAGAAAGAACGCACCTTTGTGAAGAAGACAACTGAATATCCTAACGTCAAAGAGAAACAAAGCGGACTGGCCAAATATTGTTTCACAAATATTGAACCGCCGAAGCGAGGAAGGGAATTTTCGGGGCAGTTGAAAAAAGAAAAAAAGAAAGAAAAAGAAGACTCGAATTGGAACAAAATTGAAAATTAACTTTCGCTTCGATAAAAACTTGTAGGCAAAATAAAATACAAAAACTGCGTATCCCTCGATCAAGAATCAAAGATGGAGAAGAAACGAAGAAGAGAAAATTTACATTAGAAGGAGCAGAACAGAGAGAGAGAGAGAGAGAGCGGCATGATCGCCAGCGTTATTACGGCACCCTCGAGAGCCAGCCAGGGGACTAAATGCAATTTATCTGGGTCGTTGTTGCACCGTCGCAGAAGCAACGGCTGGCGTCACCCACTTTTCCCCTAAGATAATGCCTGTCACACGTGAGGATCGGCTTCTGCCCGACACAATGGGAGACGAGAATGTATGAACGCGTGGCGATATCTATACGCGACGTTGTATCTCTGAATAAAAACAAAAAAGAAGAAGAAAAGAAAAGGAAATCCGGAATGAACGTCTATCGGTTAATTAAACCGCGTGTCCTCTCATCCTAATGTCGTTGGGAAAAAAGCGCGACGCGCTTTCTTTAGATCGTTAACGCCATTTTGTCACGCGATTATGAAACGTTTCTTCCGCGACACCTGTTGGATCGCGTTGCATCGGCAGAGTGTGTCGTTCATGAAAATTAATTTCGCGTTCGTTCGACGATCAAGAAACGTGCAACAGCCATTTTAATTCTGGAAGCAGAAGAGCTAATTTCGTCTTGGCTTTTCGTTGAAACGACTTCGAATATTGAACGTGAAATGTGGCGCCTGAATGCGACGCTATATTACTCCAAGCATCTATCATTTACTGTTTTACTGGAATTCTATTCCGATCATTGATTTGATTCTAATGATGCTTCACTTCGATGCATCATTGTATTGTTCAATTCTGTTTTATCTGTTCTATTTTAATTGATCTGATCTTAGAAGATTGTCGTGAGCCTTGCTGCTATATCTCTATATTTGGATCTGGAAAGCAATAAGGAGCTATGAATTGCTATCCAGACCATTGAAAAAACTCGAGCTGTTGAAAAAATCCAAGCTTGTCTTCAAGCTTTACAAATCTTCGTTCTGTCCTTAACGTGGATCTTCGTTCGTCGTTTTTAACTTTTTTTAAATTCAGTTAATCTCGTGTTGTAGCTAAAGAGCTTCGTAGAGACGCGTGTTCCTTCGTTTTAATTTTTCGTCGATGGTGAGAATTAATTTCACGATTAAGGAGAGACGTTGTTGTAATTTTTTGAAAGAGGAAGACATCGGTTCAATAAGAGCAACGTTACATTGGACTTTTTGCATTATTCCGTGAGACGTCCCCTCGAGGAAGGCTTGTTTCGAGGAAATATGCAGTCGGTTTTGCATTCTGTCGTGAAAGGTTCGTTTAAAAAAAATAACAAGTCGCTTTATAGGTTATCGCGTCCGCTTAAGGAAGCTTTATGCCGAGGAAATAACAAGTCGTTTCGTAGGTTTTTATGCTCTTCTCTTCGGTTGATTTTATTTGAAAATAACAGGTAATTACGTCGTTTCGTCGTATATCCTTGCTGCGTTCCTCTCTCTCTCTCTC